GGGAAAGGGGTTGGGTATGGGGATATGGGATTGGGTCGGGTCGGGTGGGGTTGTTGGAGGGGTCTGGAGATTGTTTGCGGCGGGGGGATTGGTTCCTAACAGGGAAGGAGAGGAGGGAAGGGGTGAGAGTCTGGTGGTGATGGGGAAAGGGCTGCGAAGAGAAGAAGATGGGAGTTGAGAGTTTTTTTGATTTTTTGGGTAGAGACTTTTATTTGTTTTTAGACTATTTTAAATTTTTTAATATTATTTCTCTCATTTTCAATTTATTATTAAAAAAAATTATTAACATTTAATTGCTCATTTTCAACTAATTTTTTATATCTTATTGTTTTTTTTGGGTCATTATACATACTCAAAGTGCTTTTGTATAAAAGTTTACCAAACACCTTGATTACTCACAGCACTTTTTCAAATATAGTTTACCAAATGCCTAACTGATTTTTTTCACAGCTGATTATTTTTGCAGCACAGCAGAAGCAGTTTTTTTTTAAAAGCACAGCAATACCAAACTAGCCCTAAAGGTCTGGGATTGTCTTAATAAACAAAGAGTTTTGTTAATTCCACCCTAAATAAATGAATTCAAATCCCACAACGAAAGAGTGGGTGAGAAAATAAGATAGGTGGGTGAAAATAACAGCACTCTAAATAAATCACAAAACACAATTTTTCTTGGGCGCTTAATTCCATGCTAAAATCCAGGCATTTTGCACAGCTATAAGACAAGAGTTGAAAAAGAAACGTGAGAATGAGATCATATCCTGGCAATTGGCATATATATGTAGATTTTCATGTCTTATTCAAATCTCCTTTTGTTTTTGTTTTTCTGCTTTCGCCAATTGTGTATTGCCGCGTCCCTCCCCTCCCTAGATATTTTATGTTATTAGTTTTTGCGGTTTTTGTTTTGTGTGTGTGTGACTTTGGTGGGTTTAAGAAAGTTAAGCAAATAGACGGCAGGTTTACATTCACCAACTAAAAGAAGCACCTCCACTGCTGGACCCTCGGTGGCCTTCGTATAATACTATTTCAAGGCCCACTTGCCAATTGCCCCCACAAAGACTTTCTTTCCCTTTTTTTTTTTAATAAATAAACAATCTTTATTTCTTTTGTATTCACATTGAAAGCATTGACTAATGTGAGACGATGGCTTGTAAGTTTTCAAAAGTCAGAAATTATTTACGTGTTCATAAACGATAATGGATTGTACATAACACACATCTTAAGAGCAAACTCAAAAGTGTTAAGCTTAAACTCCTAAATACAAGCAAATCACACATTTTCTCGTCGAGAGCATAAAACACCTAAATTTATATAATACATGCTTGCATTATTACATACCTTCTCCCATTTTAGATAGAATAAGAGTAATTTCGTTTGGAATGAATTGAGAAAGTTGTAATTTAACTAATAAAAATAAAAATGGAAGGCTTAAATTGAATGTACAACAAATTTTTTTTGGTTATATTGGAGTTTGGACTGGGGTGTCATAGGGCGAGGAAGCCACCACCAGCGTGGTGGGAACCCATTAGGAAATTTACAACATTTTGACATCAAGTAGGATGGCATTGGCAAATGCAACTGGGGTACTTCACAATTGGTGACCATATTTCTTTGGTTTTTCCCCCCTAAAATAGGGTCACTAGTTTTTAAAAAATAAATAGAAATTAATGACGTCAATTTCCATTTCTTGTTAGATCTACTTTATGGTATGATTATTTTAAAAAGTCGAGCACTTCTCGTCCATAATTAGACGTTAGGTATACACCTACATGTGTATACATAGCTTCTCTGACGGATTCATATTATTTTAGGAGTGCTATTTGAAAAGTGTAAATGACTCTAATTTATAAGGAGAAGTCGTACTCAGACATAAATAATCGACCACACTGCGTGACCAACTAACTTAATTTATATCTGCCACGTTGTGTTTTATTTTATTTATTTAATGTTTTATTCTAATTCAAAAAGAGTTTATTGAATTTATGATATAAAGTTTTTTTTTTATGCGGCTGGGATATAAAGTTGTTAAAAACTTTTCTTTGTGTGTTTTTAAAATAAAAGAAAAACAGTCGTTGAGTAAATATCCGTCTGTTATGAAATTATGACATATATTATTTTTCTTCTATTTTTTCGGACAGATATTTTTCTTTGAGTGCTGCTAAACGAACCCTAAAATTAACTGAGTACACCCTACGATCTAAGTACACCCTAATGTTTAAATTAAAATGTAAAATTAACTAAGTACACCCTATTTAACTACCAAAAATACCCATAGTACACCCTCTTTAATTTTTAATCTTTTAAAGTATTTAAAATAAACAAATAAAGTAAAATAATAATAAAATAATATTTTAACAAAACTCTCTCTCTCTCTCTCTCTCTCTCTCCCTCCTACTGCTTCTTCTTCTTCTTCTTCTTCTTCTTCTTTTATAACTGTTTTCCTCTATTTCGCATAATAGAGAAAAAACTGTTCTTGAACTCTGATAAAAGGGTTCATCAGATTTGTTTTTGCTTTGAGCTCAGGAATTGCACATCGCTCACTTGATCTTAAAGGTGACATCTTTTCACTTCCTCAGTCAATTCTCTTCCTGGGTTTTCATTTAATATCTGGTTTTTTATTATTATTTGAATACCTATATTGCTTTACCTGTATAAGAACCCAGATTATTTTGGTCCCAAATAAGCTCAACCAAACCTAATCTCTTGGTTCCTCAGTAAATTTCCCAACTTTTTGATGATGGGTTATAGGAAATTTGATCTGTTCATCTGGGTTTTATCAGTCTTGTGTTTGGGATGGTTGTGTAGTGGATTTAATCCTGCAGACATTTACCTCATAGACTGTGGATCGCCTGCCAATACTTCAGTGGGTAACCGTGTCTATGTAGCAGATAATTTGGCTTCAAAATTTCTTTCAACCCCAAAAGATGTTGTTGCCAATATTTCTTTGAAATCAATCACTTCCTTTGATGATTCGCCGCTGTATCAAACGGCAAGAATCTTTACTGAATCCTCAAAGTACACCTTTTCCATAAGCCAGAGTGGGAGACACTGGATCCGCCTTTACTTCTATCCATTTATTTTTGGTGGTTACGATTTGAGCAAAGCGAAGTTCTCTGTTTCCACCCAAAACCATGTTCTCCTTGGTGATTTCAGTGTTCAAAACGCTTCTGTTGTCAAAGAATTTTCAGTAAATGTAACTTCAGATAGCCTTGTTATTACCTTCACCCCTTCCAACAATTCATTTGCATTCTTAAATGCCATAGAAGTTGTTTCAATAACTGTTCTCCTCTATTTTGCATAATAGAGAAAAAACTGTTCTTGAACTCTGACAAAAGGGTTCATCAGATTTGTTTTTTCTTTGAGCTCAGGAATTGCACATCGCTCACTTGATCTTAAAGGTGACATCTTTTCACTTCCTCAGTCAATTCTCTTCCTGGGTTTTCATTTAATATCTGGTTTTTTATTATTATTTGAATACCTATATTGCTTTACCTGTATAAGAACCCAGATTATTTTGGTCCCAAATAAGCTCAACCAAACCTAATCTCTTGGTTCCTCAGTAAATTTCCCAACTTTTTGATGATGGGTTATAGGAAATTTGATCTGTTCATCTGGGTTTTATCAGTCTTGTGTTTGGGATGGTTGTGTAGTGGATTTAATCCTGCAGACATTTACCTTATAGACTGTGGATCGCCTGCCAATACTTCAGTGGGTGACCGTGTCTATGTAGCAGATAATTTGGCTTCAAAATTTCTTTCAACCCCAAAAGATGTTGTTGCCAATAGTTCTTTGAAATCAATCACTTCCTTTGATGATTCGCCGCTGTATCAAACGGCAAGAATCTTTACTGAATCCTCAAAGTACACCTTTTCCATAAGCCAGAGTGGGAGACACTGGATCCGCCTTTACTTCTATCCATTTATTTTTGGTGGTTACGATTTGAGCAAAGCGAAGTTCTCTGTTTCCACCCAAAACCATGTTCTCCTTGGTGATTTCAGTGTTCAAAACGCTTCTGTTGTCAAAGAATTTTCAGTAAATGTAACTTCAG